TTTAGCCTAAATGCATCATTTTCATTATTTTAACTTTAGTTGTAGTTTTTTTGGACCTATTATTTTAAATTTTGTCATCGATTACTTCTAAATGTATAGGGTTTCCTAAGTTTTTAATTGCTTTTACCTGAGTTACATTATGGTTAGAAAAATGAGTTCTTGGGAACCAGCAGTTAGCATAATGGCTATGTCGCTGGACTCCCACGTAGTCGACTGCGGTTCGCGTCCCGGACCCGGTGGCTTAAAACTCACGCCGGGCGCGTGTGCGTGCGTGCCCATGATCCCGAGAGGAGAATGGAGGAGAAGGGATTGCGGCGTGACCATCCCCCCTGGGGGGTGATTTCTCGCTTTCTGTCTCTATGTCTCTCTCTGTCTGTCTGGCGAGCGCACGTGCCCTATAGCGAAAATCTCTCTCAAAAAAAAAAATGAGTTCTTTGTGATGGCAATTTTTAAAATTTTTGCTATAAATCACATGTACTCACTGTAAGAGGAGAGAAACAGAGAGAAAGATACAATGAGCACCCCTGGGGAGAGATGGCCATGCCACCATCCCTTCTCCATTCTCCTTTCTGAAATTTGGGCACATCCGTACACATGCCTGGCATGTCTTTCAAACTGCTGGACCCAGGACTCGAACTGCACAGTCAGCCATGTAGGATCCAGCCACCTTCATCACCATGCTACAGGCTGGCCCAACAAATTTTTATCTGTGGAAATTTGCTTTCTAATCTCATCGTGAGTTCCCATTGGCTTGAAAAGACCACATAATCTTTAACTGTAAGCACTCTGGCCTAGTGTGTCTAATGAATGACTCTCTATTAGACCCATGCCTGAACCCACTGCCCAATACTGCTCCCAACTTCTCAGATTCTTGAATACCAGGGCACTGTCTTTTTCTAGCAAGTTCTTCAACATCTGGTCCCATTATCAGGGTCCTGGTCCTGAACTCACGACAAGGAGGTGCAGGCAGGACTTCCTAGAACTGCCAGGAAATGCTGGTCTTGGCTGTTCTCGGTCACTTCCCACAGAGTGATGTGTTTGTCTGGACCCCTAGTGCCCTGTGCTGAGGCAATCTTGCTTTCACAACTAGAACCTCCCCTCCCCCATAGCCCGCCTCCTCACTGGGTCTTAAACTTTGGGGCATCTGATATTCCCACACTACAGACCCAGAACAGTCTTGATCCTAGACTGTCTTGATCCCTTCCCGTGTGTTTCACCCTCTTTCAAACTTTGTCCCTGGTCTGAGATAGACATGTATTGCCTGACAATAAATGTAGTGACCAAAGTCCAGGATCCCCACACACCCAACACATACAGCCACGTCAGTGTGAGTGAGACTTCCAGAGGGAAGCACACTTTGCCGTCAAGTCACAAGGAACCCCTCCATATCTTCTGCACCTGGGACGCGGTCTGCTCTCTCCTCTCTAAGCCATCCATCCATCCTCACTGCCATCCACGTCTACAGTGTGAACTCGATCTGCAGAGAACGTCCATGGCTTTCATGCTCATGTTGGTTCTCAGTCTCCTTAAGCTGGGTTCAGGTAAGCCTTCCAGGCTAGAGTGTTCTCTGTCATTCTCTTGGTGATAAACAGTCTGAATTCTTTATCTACCATGATTAAAACACAATAGGATGATACATCTATCTATTTTTCTGTATTCCCCTGGCTTCGTCTGGCCCCTACCTGGCAATTACCAATGCCAGAGCTGAGGGAAGTGCAAGACAGTGTGCAGGACTTGGGTCCTGTCAAACTACTGTATTAGTCCAGAAGTAACAGAAATAGGGGAGCTGAAGAAAGGCCAGGGTGGATGTTAAGGTGAATAAATTAAATGTTGGTCCAGATGGGTTGTGGGGGTTAGACAGGAGATCATCTACTACAACACCCAGATATGTGAACTGAGTGCCTCGTTGGAAGAACACAATTTTCAGGACATTTGGTAGTGGTGTTATTTTCTCCTCTGGGAACATACTGAATTGGAAACGCCTGGGATATGTGACCAGAAGGGAGTGTACAGATCTTACGTGAGGAACAATCTAGAAGGTGGCTTCTTCTGGTCAGAAATCCACTCTTCTTTCTCCTTCCAGTTATCATCCACACAGAGCCAGATGTCTAGGGTATTGAGAACTTGAGCACAATTCACAGAGCTGAAGGCTGGAGCAGAACTCTGTGGCTAAGTCTGGTCAGGCATCTTAGAGCTGTGGAAACACTGACAATGACACTCCATATGAGTATTAATGGGGGGACTTGAGAATGAAACCCAAGACCATGAACTTTACTGAGCATCATATTTAAAGGCAAAAGATAACAATCTCTGGCTGGCCCTGAATATACCCTAATTAACTTGTGTACATACTCTACTTTCCAATCCCTTTGTTCACACATCCGCTGGTTTTTGTTTGTCAGAGAATGCTGCCAGAGTTCACTGATATTTCTGTTCTCAGCATTGTTCCGAGCACAGAGGAAATGGGGTAAGAGTTCTTCGTGGTCAGCTGTGTGTCCCTGGAGTCCCTGTTATGGCTGTGTTTAGCCAAATGACCAGAGGGAACCAGCAGTTGGCGTAATGGCTATGTCGCTGGACTCCCACGTAGTCGACCACGGTTCACGTCCTGGACCCTGTGGCTTAAAACTCATGCCGGGCGCGTGTGCGTGCGTGCCCAAGATCCCAAGAGGAGAATGGAGGAGAAGGGATTGCGGCGTGACCATCCCCCCTGGGGAGTGATTTCTCGCTTTCTGTCTCTCTGTCTCTCTCTGTCTGTCTGGCGAGCGCACGTGCCCTATAGTGAAAAACCTCTCCAAAAAAAAAAAAAGCCAAATGACCACAGTGTGCTCCTGGGCCTCAGGCCTCCAGTCACACCATACTTGCAGCTTGCTCACTTGTATGAGCGGGGTCCACCCTTCCACATACACGCCTACCTCTTTTTTGCTAAGTCAGTGTGGATGGGTCATGGACTCACAATAGCTCCCAGCCGGCAATTGTCAACATTCCCCAGGCCTCTGAGGTTCCCTCTGTCTGTCTGGCGAGCGCACGTGCCCTCTAGTGAAAAACCTCTCCAAAAAAAAAAAAAAGCCAAATGACCACAGTGTGCTCCTGGGCCTCAGGCCTCCAGTCACACCATACTTGCAGCTTGCTCACTTGTATGAGCGGGGTCCACCCTTCCACATACACGCCTACCTCTTTTTTGCTAAGTCAGTGTGGATGGGTCATGGACTCACAATAGCTCCCAGCCGGCAATTGTCAACATTCCCCAGGCCTCTGAGAATTCACTACCTCTGCAAACCCCCTCCTCTGGAGTGATAAGAAGCAACCCAAGACCTTGAGAATTGGACACCCTGCTTATCTAACCCTTTCTTCCTGAGAACAAACTCTGGGCGGCATCTTCCTGGTGGGCTGCTTCTTCCTGATAGACTTCTTCTCCATGATAGGATACCCTCAGCCCACTGAGAGCCGCCTCTCCCCAAACTTCCCAGTAAAAGACTGTGCTCCATCCCCAAGTGTGGGAGGCTGTGCACCAGCGAGTCTGCCGAGGCCCCTTTTCATGAGTCTCTTACTATTGTCATCTTAGGCTCAGAGAGCAAACAATTACAAAAGCCACAACTGGCTCCCTTTCAAAAACCTCACCTTCGACACCACACTCTGATTGGCCACTTCACATAGCAAATCGGTGAGCTTAGAATCCCTCAGATTTGCATATCCGGGTACCTCATGATTGGTCCACAAAGTAACCAATCATAACCCACCTTTTGCTATCCTTCATTCAACCAATCACGGCCCACCAATGTGTATATAAGTACGATCTCTGGCCCATAATCGCCAGACGACCAGGAAGACGACACAGACAACCAGGAAGAAGACACCCCTGAGCTGCGACACCGCGCCATTCTCCAGACGACCCTGAGCTGCGACACTACGTCGTCTCTGGACGACCCTGAGCTGTGACGCTGCGTCGTCTCTAGACGACCCTGAGCTGTGACGCTGCGTCGTCTCCGGACGACCCTGAGCTGTGGCGACATTGTGTCGGCTCCGGATGACCCTGAACACTGTGTCGTCTCCGTGCTGCCTACAATAAAGAGACGACCCTGAAGAGACACTGCGTCATCTCCGTGCTGTGATAGTGCGCCGTACGTCCCGTCTCTCACTCCTTTCCGCAGGAAACCTTTTCCACTGTCTCGCGGGTCGAGACACCCAAGGGAGCCAAAGATTCTGAGTATTAACTCCTCCGTGCCCGCCGATGTATTAAAGAGTTACTCCTGTCTCTCCGGAGTGCTGCCTTTTTTTGTTCCTCGGCCCTCTGGTTTTCCACAGCATTACTTGAAGCTAAGAAAAGGGAAATGAGGTATTCAAAACATGTTTCCTGGTGTCACATCAAAATCTTTTTGTGTTACGCATGAGAAAATCTCTCATTTAAAGTAATTTTCATTCATTTTCCAATGGACTTCTTTGTCTGCTTACTGTTTTGGAGAGAGACAGCAGGTCATTGTGGAAATGACTTCAGGAGAAATACTTTACTTTTTTTTAATGTAATTTTCTCTGCCAATGAGCTTTGGGGTTCATAACTTTTCTTAGTGTCAGTTTGCTTATTATGATATGTAGGTAATTTTGACATGGGAAGGTGGGTGTTGTGGGCACATTACCCAGTGCAGAAACACCAGGGAGCCTGAGTCTTCATCTCACGCTTATGAAGAATTAGAGACAGACACAAAGAAGGGATAGAAAACCAGAGTGTATTAAGAGAGGGAAGGAAGAACAGAGCTCCCAAACAGACAGCCAGTCCCACATGGGTTGCCGAAGAGGAACTGAGGTAGGGGATTTTTATCTTGGTTAGGAGGGGCTTTGTCCCAATTTGTTCTCAGGAGGAGCTTGTGCATGCATTCCCCCTCATAATTGGGGTCACATGCTAGATGGGTCCAGTTATTTTCTTAATTTTGGAGTGGGTACAAAAGTCATGAGATTCTTTGTCTAGTGGCCATAAAAACCATTATCTTATCTTCTCAGAATGTGGTCGGGCCTGGGGAAAACCTGAATTCTCACTTCTGCTTTAGGCTATGCTGCCTTGGTTAATCACTGAACAAGCCGTTCCAGTGAGAGCTGAGCTGCTGCTGAGCTGTTGTGTCTCCATCTTAAAGTTCAGCCACTTTGCAATTCCATTTTGGGCCTATCCTCTAACTATATGTTTAGGGCCTCTGTCTCCGTCCTTTCTGGCAAGCACATGCACACTACAGCAAAAATCTCTCTAAAAGCTAAGTAAATAAATCAGTACTGGCAGGTGGAGTGGTGGTTAAAGGTGCTGGATTCCCACATGGTCAACTGCGGTTCAAGTCCCAGGCTTGCAGCTTGCTTTCTCACTTTCTTTCTCTCTCTTTCTCTCTCTCTCACTCTATCCTTCTCTGGTCAAATTGAAATAAACAAAAGGGATTAGCAGTTGGTGTAATGGCTATAGTTCCTGGCGT